ATGGATTCCTGTTTTGGGTCGATTATCCCGAGGCCCCCTTCCTGTGGCTTCCTAGTGATGTGGCTCCATGCGACCCTGTTGATGCAGGTGGTCCTGTTAGGGTCACCTGTCCACAGATAGCACCTCACCCTGTTCTTGAGTTCCTTGAGGTCGTCGTTGGGGGGGGACCAAATTGATGCCAAGTACCACAGTGTAGAGAAGATCGCTGTGTTGATAAGTAGTGCCCGTCCGATTAGTGAGGCCTGGGCGTTTTTGCACAGGGCCAAGCGCGTGATCACTCTTGCTATCAGATTCTGGCCCATTCCCGGCCAAACTCCATCCTTGTTGATCATGATGCCCAGGAACCATAGTGCTTGCTCTCCCGTGGTCCAAGTCATGGGTGTGGTTGTATCTGGACGTTAGGGAGGGGTGCCGTCTGCTAACCATCATCCTTCGGTTTTATTCCAATTGACCCTCATTTCTGATGCCAGTCTAAATGCTTCCATTGCCCTTACCAGTGATTGGAAGGAGTTGTTGTTTGCTCTAATGAGTACCGTAAGGTCGTCAGCGAACATGAGTGCAGTGGGTAGGGCGAAGTCGTGTAACGGGTTGAAGTTTCGTTCTGTGAGGCGGTCAATTGACGGGTCTTTGCGGAGAAATGAGGCTATGGCTTCCATTATGAAGAGAAAAATGGGGGGGAGCCAGTGGATCGCCTTGTCTGACTGACCGTGAGATTGGGTAGGTTTCTGATAGGATTTTGTTGACCTGGACTCTTCCTGTTGCATCTGCGTACAGGATTCTCACCCAAGTTCTGAAGTTCGGGCCTACCCCCATTTTTTCCATGCATGCGTGGAGAAAATCCCAGTTAACTTGGTCGTAGGCTTTCTCGAAGTCGAAGAACAGGATTGCTGCCTTCATTCGTTTCTCCGTGATCTTTTTTGCTGCTTCATTCAGAGTCATCACATTGTCCAATTTGTAACGACCTGGGATGAAGCCTGCTTGATCGATGTGGAAGCAACTGTTAGTTAGTTTTGTGATTCTGTT